CCACACGTCCATGTGAAGCGTCTGCAGCGGAGCCTCTGTCGGAGGAAACTCGGAGGAGTGAGGAGCAGCGCGCTGCCGCCCCTCGACGCAGGGAACGCAGGTGGGGGCAGGCCCCGGAGGAAGGGGAGGGAGGGACCGGGGGAGGCCAGAGACAAGAAGACGGGAAGCCATGCCTCGAAGACGAGGCAGGGAGGGGTGACCAAGGCGGTGGTGCCAGAGGAGAGTCCGGTGGGACAGGAGACGACACGAGCAGGGGGCAGACTCAGGGCCAGACCTGGACGCCGCAGCAAACACCTGACCCGACGCTGCTACCTGAGCAGACTCAGCGACTGGAGGAGACTCAGTAGTCAGTGTGTACAGGCTCGACCCCGGCTGACGGGTAAACGTGGCCAAGTGACGGCCCGACCGAGCACAGGTACAGTGGGTCACTCGCTGACTCGCAGGAGTGAACTGGTGAACCCCTGCATCCTGGAGGTCAGCACCACTCACCAAGTTCGTAGAGAACGAGGGGAGGTAAAGACCTGACAGGGTGCCAGAAGGGGCCGCCGGACACGGTAGGACAGTGGAGAAGCGGGCAAGGACAGGGCCCCCAGAGGGGTCTGCCAGGGAGACCGCCACTGGCCGACTAAGCGGCGTGAGCGTGGTGCAGTCTCGAAAAAAGGAGCGGGAAGCACCCGAGTCAAGGGTGAAGGTGTGGGTGTCCGGAGACGACGCAGTACCTGAGAGCGCAGACTCACCGGCACCTGGGGCGGCAGACGCACTGGCACCTAGAGCAGCAGCCTCACCAGCACCTAGAGCAGCAGCCTCAATGCCCGGGTCAGGCGGAAAACACCGGTAACAGTCACCCTCATCACTAATAGTCACAGCATACATGGCAGCAAGAATAGCATCATAATCAAGATCAAAGATCGCAACACCCGCCCTAGACAGCTCGCCCCAGCGAGGGATCTCAGTAGCGTCGGGGAACTGGTGACGCCAAGCGTCCGTCAGACGGCCGAAACAGCGCTGGGTGGAGTGCGCCCCCCCACACTGCTCACCCGCGCGGTCGCCGATACGGCGAACGTAGGTACAGGGGCCAGCACCCCCGCCCCGCTGACGAGCAGTGTACCACTCACGAAGCTGCTGGGGGGAAGGGGTCTCACGAGTACGCTGCTGCTGCTGCTGCTGGCGCTGACCACCACCGGAGCCGACCCTCTGCGTAGAGCCGCCCCGACCCGCTCCACCTCCGCCGCCGCTACCTCCACCACCGCCTCCTCCTCCGCCGCCACTGCCTCCACTAGTGCCCCCACTCCCACCACCACTCCCACCGCCACCCCCACTCCCTCCGCCTCCTCCACTGCCGCCTCCACCGCCTCCGCCAACTCCCCCAAAGCCCTTGCCCCCCTTGCCCTTGCCTGAGCGGCGTCTCCCGCTAGGGGTAGACGCCGCACCGACCGACTCAAGACCAACGAGGTCGGCCGCAGCAGCAGAGGCAACAGAGGGCAAGAGGGGGGAGGGGGAGCACCCCTCAAAGACAGGGGTACGAGGGTCACCACGAGAGGCTCCTACAGCAACTATGCTCTTCTCAGCTGCGAGGAGACGCTCCTCGAGGAGGTCAACGGTGAGAGTGGTGGGGCAAACAGAGAGAAAGTGGTCCCTGACCGAGCGAAGGGTGTCAGGGAGCCGGGTGACTGTATAGTAGAGGGTGATGTACATGGGGGGGGGGTTCTTGGCGCAGAACTCAGCAGGAAGCGCAGCGCGGTAGCGAATGTCACTAGTGCGAAGGTGCGTAATGAGGTCAGCGACAGTGGGAAAAGCGGCGAGGTCAGGGAAGAGGTACGGCAGTATGAGGCGGCTAAGCGCAGCAGTGGCAGGGGAAGAGTAGCGTGCAACTACAGCGTCGTACAAGGTCTTAGCACTCTTGTACTGACTAAAGTGCGCACGCTCAGCGGTCGGCAAGTGGCGGCGCACAGCAAGGCGGGCAGCAGCATCGCGCGTGGCCCACTGTGAGCGAACAGTGGCGTCAGCATCAGCAGTAGGGGAAGGAGAGGCACCAGAAGTGAGGTCAAAGAGGGAGAGACCGTCTGCCCTATCGCACTGTAGGAAAAGCTGCAGATCATCTACCCAGACCTCAAAGTCAACAGCCCGACCCTCAGCGTCAAAGGTGAGAACACTGGGGGTGGCCATGACAGCAGTAGACGAGCAGTGAGAGCAGCAGGCTAAGGGCAGTGCAGTGGCAGAGGCGCTGCTCTTACCGGGCAGGCGAGAAGGACCGATGCTCGCCGGCAGGGACAGGGCCGCGACTGCAGTGACGGCGGCAACCCGGCTGCGGCGGCTGAGGCAACGGCGACAACTGCGGCTCGGCGGCAACGGCGGCTCGGCGGCAACGGCGGCTCAGCGGCAACGGCGGCCCGGCGGCTCGGCGGCTCGGATGCTCGGCGGCTCGGCGGCTCGGTGGCAACGGAGGCTCGGCGGTTGGCAGCTCGGCGGCTCGGCGGCGACAGCGGGGCCGTGAAGGGTGGCGTCGGGGCCGCAGAAGGGCGGCGGCGGGGCCGCAGTAGGGCGGCGTCGGGGCCGCAGTAGGGCGGCGTGGGGGCCGCTAAGGGCGGCAGGGCCGCTGAAGGGCGGCGACGTGGCCGCCGAGGGCGGCGACGTGGCCGCCGAGGGCGGCGACAGGGCCGCAAGGGGCTGCGACGGGGCCGCTAAGGGCGGCGGGGCCGTGGAGGGGCGGCGACAAGGCCGCGAAAGGGCGGCGACAGGGCCGGGTGGGGCGGCGACGAGGCCGCGAAGGGCGGCTACGGGGCCGCGGAGGGCGGCGACGGGGCCGTAGAGGTGGGGCAACGGGGCCGCTAAGGGCGGTGAAGGGGTCGCGTAAGGCAGCGTGAGGAGGGCGCGACGGGCCGCTAAGGGCAGCACACCGAGCGCGCCTCGGGCAGGGGCGACGCGCGCCCCGGGCAGGAAAAAAAAATATTGATTTGGGTGGGCCCTAGGAAAAGTTCCCACTAGGGAACCTGCTCTATACCATGTGAAAATGAGAACGAGAATGAATGCATTGAGCAGCATGAGGAGTACAAGTACCAAACCCTAAAGTGTTGTACCCCATGTAAGCTACCCCACTACAGCCTACACAGACTATAGTATATGAGTTTGATAGGGAGGCCGCGGTCGATCGGCCAGTCGTCGCCCCCGTCGAGATGAGAAGCCGCGCAAGGAGAAGCAGACGTCGAAGAAGACGTCGTCGACGAAGGACGTCGACAGCTCCAGCGGCAAGGGCCGAGGCGACGGGGAGGCGTCGTGCTTGATGGCCGAATTAGAATGAATTAGGCAAGAGTTTCACTAGGCAAAGTTGGAATTAGAGAATGATACACAAGCAATGACAGAATGGACTACATCAGGCACCTAGCAACTCTGCAGCTAGCCTGGTCGACCGCCAGCACTGCATGGTCGACCGCCTGCCAGCGTTGCGTAGAGGAGCCGCGCCAGCACTGCAGAAAGGCGACCTGCCAACACTGCAGGTCGACGGCGTGCCAACGCTGCAGCAGCGCGGCTGTCCACCGTTGACCCGCAGAAGACAGCAGTGCGCACGCTCGCAGGTGCGCGCAGACGATTGGCCTGACTTGCATCGTTGTGCATCCTGCGGCTGTTGTCTGCGCCTGACGAGCCACATCGACTTCGGGATACCAGCCCGAAGTCGCCTTCGTCATCGCGACCTTGACGACGTTCGCGTGGGTAGGTCTCATGGGGTTTCGTTCAAACCAAAGTTTTCTGAATGCCAAGCCCGATCTCGCCCATACCACAACACCATTCACCGCTGGCACAAACCACCTTTCCACATGTACTTCAAGCCTATCATTAAGGAGGGGGGAGGTGCGCTGATGTCATCTAGGTTTTGTATGTCTATGCTTTGGAAATGTGTTAGTGCTTCCAAGATAGTTTGTGAGTGTCTATATGAAAGAAGAAAAGTGGGTGGGACATGGTTTCCAAGGTTGGTTCGTAACTTGGTACATGTCGCTGGGGTGTCGCAATCTTCGTCCATCGTTATGTGGTGTGGTTGGGTATGCTCGCCATGAATTTCCTTTGTGCTGGTTGCATGTTCTCTACACACGATGCTCAACCCCTGCACGCAAATTCGCCCTGCACCGGATGGAAAGTCTGCACCCGTGTTTTTTGGACCGGCCAGTTGCACCTACATTACAAGCACCCCGCGCATGTTGCAGTGATTCCGAACCAAAAGTAACGAAGAGACCGAAGTCAAATTGAAGAGACCGAAGTTGCAATTTTATAGAAGCCCTTTTTTGCTAGCTGCGAATTGACTAAACCTTTGCGAAATGCAAGAATCACTTAAGCGCCCTCTTCACGAGGCAACCATGGGTGACTCAAACGAGCATCAGGTGTATCATGGCGTAGTTGTATCACCCCTACTGTTGATTGGAAGATACAAACGAAAAAAGCTTTGCTGGAAGCCAGTCCGCTATGCTATTGGCTCGCGAACGATTCCCCATCTCGTCCTTTTCCAGCAACTCGTCGCTCCTATCTCGTCTTCGTGAGTAACTTGAGCCAACCACATAGATCTTAGTTCCTAGCATTCAAAACTTCCTTCCCCGCAACTCACGCCAGCCTACATGGCTAGTTTCTCGAGCTTCGTTGGAACGCGTCTCTTGAACAGGCAGGCTCAAACAGACAAGCTACGAACCTGTTTTAGTTGCATAATGCTCGCCAAAAAATGCAGCTGCTAGTTCCAAACGATTCTCGCTTTGCCATGTCATCACTAAATGTTGAACGTGATTGGAAGCCACAAATAGAAAAGGCCTTGCTGGAAGCCTCTGCGTTTCGCCATTGGCTCACGAATGATACTCCACCGCGTTCCTTTTCCAGCAATTCGTCGCTCGTATCGCGCTCCTGAATTTAGATTATCTCCTCCCCGCGACTCACGCGAGCTAAGCACAATTCCGCGAATCCGATTCAAGCCACTTTCGACTTCGGGACTCATTCCAGCAAAGAACGCGTTCCTAGCATTCGCCATGGCGCGGCGGCTGTTACGCTTGGCTCATGTGTATAACTCGGGACGTCAATCAAAGTGCAGGCAAAGCTCGAAGCAAGCTAGCCATTTTTTCGACCATTCTCCTTTCAGTTCTTTCGTTGCACTGGACTATCAATCATTCCACCCACCTCCGAGTAGCAGAGAGCCACGTTGAGCTGTATCGAACGGACACCTTCACTCCGCACTTTACCATCGTCTGTTGCGCCTCTTTCGCCGCCTCTCCCGCAGCCTCTTCCGCCGCGTTTCCCGCGGAACCCCCGCCGTCATCATCATGGGGTCGATGCGCGCCTCTCCTGCCGGCCTCCTTCTCCTCGCCCTTGCCCTAATCTGTGGTCAGTCTTCTTCTTTTCTTCTTCTCTCTCATTTCTGCAAGAGCTTTCACTAGTGGTCAGCCCTGTCGTGATGTGCGACCACTCAGATCCATGCCTTTTTCACTGCTCCTGCCTTCTATTGTACTGCTGCTCTTGTCTTGCCTTCAACTGCTGCTCTCTCGTTGCGCTCAGATCCGTGCCTTCTCGCATCTCCTCCCGCCTCTGGCAGCTCTCTCAAATCAGGTCTCTCTTCTCTCTCACATCGGCTCTCATATTTGCTCTCTCTTCTCTCTCACATCAGCTCTCTCTGCTCGCTCACATGGCGCTCTCTTCTCTTCTCTGCACGCCTTCTCCCTTGTCCTCTGCAGCAGTTCAGATGATGAAGCCAGTGTATGGCGACGACACGGTGAACCGCATGGCACACCGCATGGCACACCGGAGCATGCTCTCTGCCGCGCATTCTGATGGCGCAGTGCCAAAAAGTCTCGACAAGGAAAGCCCCTACACGGGCAGCCCCAACACGGGCAGCCCCAACACGGGCAGCCCCAACACGGGCAGCCCCAACACGGGCAGCCCCACCAAGGGCAGCCCCAACACGGGCAGCCCCAACACGGGCAGCCCCAACACGGGCAGCCCCAGCAAGGGCAATCCCAGCAAGGGAAGCCCCAGCACGGATATTCCCAACACGGGCAGCCCTAGCAAGGGCAATCCCAGCAAGGGAAGCCCCAGCACGGATATTCCCAACACGGGCAGCCCCAACAAGGGAAGCCCCGGCAAGGGAAGCCCCGGCACGGATATTCCCAACACGGGCAGCCCCAACAAGGGAAGCCCCGGCAAGGGAAGCCCCGGCACGGATATTCCCAACACGGGCAGCCCCAGCGAGGCTTCCAGCACGCAGGTTGCGACGGAGGTGGCGGTGGGAGGGCTGCGGCTGACCTTCAGCAAGCAGCGCTGCGTGAGCGTGCCCAAGAAGGCGAGGCGGAGCAGCGTGACCGTGTGGTGGCACGGCCGTGGGGGCACGAGCAACGGGGGCTACGGCTACGGGTATTCAAGCCGTGTGGATCCGGGCAGTGCGGCGGGCAGCGTGGCGGGGAGTGCCTGGTGCGCGCAGGTCAAGTTCTTTAGGAAGGGCGGCTGCCAGGGCGAGGAGGTGGATAGTGTTGTCAACCCGGGCGCTGCTCCTGCAGCCAAGTGAGTGGTGGTGGTGGGTGCTTGAGTGTTGTGAGTGGTGGGTGGTGTTGGCTTCTGAGTCGACTCAAAAGGTGCTTGAGTGTTGTGAGTGGTGGTGGGCGGTGTTTGGGATGCAACCCTGCCAGGGCAAGGAGGTGGAGGGCATGGTCAACCCGGGCACGTACTGCTACTGCAGCCAAGTGAGTGGATTCGCGTAGCAAGGTTGCACGTTTCGCTTGTTCGCATGTCAAGCTCTTTGGGGAGGACGGCTGCCAGGGCACGGCGATGGAGAGCGTGGTCAACCCGGGCAGTGCTATTGCAGGCAAGTAAGTGAAGTGAAGGTTGATGTGTGTGCGCTTTTGAGTCGACTCAAAAGTCACCTGATATGTGTGACCGGTGCCATGCCATGCCATGCGTGTGAGCGGTGCCATGCCATGCCATGCCATGCCATGCCATGCCATGCCATGCCATGCCATGTGTGTGAGCGGTGCCATGCCATGCCATGCCATGTGCGTCGCGGTGGTGTGTGGATGGGATGGGAAGGGCAGCTGCCAGCGCAAGGAGGTGGAGAGCGTGGCTAACCCGAACGCAGCTGCTGCAGCAGCCAAGTGAATGGCGGGTGGTGTGTGTGTCAGCTGTGCCAAGTGAATGGCGGGTGGTGTGTGTGTCAGCTGTGGGTAAGGTGTGTGTTAGCTGTGGTTTTGGCGTGTCTTAGCGGTGGGGAAGGTGTGTGTCAGCGGTGCCATGCCATGTGTGTCGGTGTGAGTTTGGCTAGAGTGCGTGGTCAGCCCGAACACTGCTACTGCAGCCAAGTGAGTGGCGGGTGGTGTGTGTGTCAGCAGTGCCATGTCATATGTGTGTTTTTATTGTGTGTGGGTGAGTTTGGGTGTGTGTGTGTGTGTGTGTGTGTGTGTGTGTGTGTGTGTGTGTGTGTGTGTGTGTGTGTGTGTGTGCGTGTGTCAGCGGTGGCATGGCATGCTATACGAGTGTTTGGAATGCGTGTGTGGCTGTGATTTTGAGTGGTGTGGCTGTGATTTTGAGTGGTGTGGCTGTGATTTTGTGTGGTGTGGCTGTGATTTTGAGTAGTGTGGCTGTGATTTTGGGTGGTGTGGCTGTGATTTTGGGTGGTGTGGCTGTGGAATCGTTAACCCTGGCAGGCACTGCTGCAGCCAGGTGAGTGGCGGGTGGTCTGTGTCAGCTGTGGGGAAGGGCGGGAAACAGAGGGGAAGGGAGGGGAAGCAAGGGCATAATAACCGAGTTGGTGGCAGGTGGTGTGACAGAATTGCCATGTGAGTGTTGGGTGGTGTGTGTCTGCGGAGAGAGGACACTAGCAGTGTACTTTTGAGGCGCCTCAAATGTCGGTGAGAGTTTGTGTGGTTTGGAGCGTGTAAGGCACTGAGAGGGGACACTAGCAGTGTCTGGCTTGGGAAGGAGATGGGGAGGGGAGGGGAGGGTGAGGAAGGGGAGGGGAGGGAAGAATAACCACGCTGTCATCTCTTGTGCTTCCACTTGCCACGCCCTTCAGGTCCCCAATCTCAAAGAAGCGGCTCCGGGGTTGGGCTTCTGTAGCATCTGTTCTCTGCGCTGTTCCTGAGCAGCACAAGGAAGACACGCCGCAGCAGCCACAGCAGCCGGAAGTTACTCCGCAGCAGCCGGAAGTTACGCCGCAGCAGCCGGAAGTTACGCCGCAGCAGCCGGAAGTTACGCCGCAGCAGCCGGAAGTTACGCCGCAGCAGCCGGAAGTTACGCCGCAGCAGCCGGAAGTTACCCCGCAGCAGCCGGAAGTTACGCCGCAGCAGCCGGAAGTTACGCCGCAGCAGCCGGAAGTTACGCCGCAGCAGCCGGAAGTTACGCAGCAGCAATCACAGCAGCCGCAGCCAAAGGACGGTAAAATCACTTGTGCCTCCCTTAGATAGAAGCGCATTCCCTTAGGTGTCAATTGTAAGGGCGTGCTTTGGCAAGTGAGTGTCGTTTGGTTTGGTGCCTTCCTCTACTGCAAGAGAGCTCTTGACGCATTTTTGAGTCGAATCAAAGAGCAAGTGAGCTCTTGCCTTCCGACCTTTCCCGCTACTGACAGTGAGGTAAGTCCTTTTTTTTAAAAGCATATTCCTGCCCTAACTTATGAAGCATATTCTGAGGGCATGCTGATGTCCTTATGACAACTTGAGGCACATAATGATGAAGCACGCTGCACGCTCTTCTATTGATTGGCACCTTCTTCAGCCTTTCACGTAGCCCTCTCTCCTCTCTCCTGCAGATACTGCCTCTGCGGTGTTGGGCTGTGAGCCGGATGGCACGGCACCTGTGACGTGGCATTCCCATATCTTTCTTTGATGCCCCTTTCTGTTCGCCTCGGTTGTTGTAGATCCTGCCTGTGCGGCGTTGGGCTGTGAGCCGGATGGCACCTGTGAGGTGGATCAGAACGGAGGGCGCTACTGCAAGTGGGGTGAGTGAACATGCCGTTGCTGCCAGTGGGGCGAGTTTTTCTTGCTTTCACCTCATCACATGCATTGCTATGTCAAGACGTGTCGGCGATTCAAGTTTTGATGCGCCTCAAAGGTCGTCTCATGCAGATTTCAAGTTTCCATTAGAGTGCATCCTGTGCAATGCTAGAGTGAGAGTGCATCCTGTGCAATGCTAGAGTGAGAGTGCATCCTGTGCAATGCTAGAGTGAGAGTGCATCCTGTGCAATGCTAGAGTGAGAGTGCATCCTGTGCAATGCTAGAGTGAGAGTGCATCCTGTGCAATGCTAGAGTGAGAGTGCATCCTGTGCAATGCTAGAGTGAGAGTGCATCCTGTGCAATGCTAGAGTGAGAGTGCATCCTGTGCAATGCTAGAGTGAGAGTGCATCCTGTGCAATGCTAGAGTGAGAGTGCATCCTGTGCAATGCTAGAGTGAGAGTGCATCCTGTGCAATGCTAGAGTGAGAGTGCATCCTGTGCAATGCTAGAGTGAGAGTGCATCCTGTGCAATGCTAGAGTGAGAGTGCATCCTGTGCAATGCTAGAGTGAGAGTGCATCCTGTGCAATGCTAGAGTGAGAGTGCATCCTGTGCAATGCTAGAGTGAGAGTGCATCCTGTGCAATGCTAGAGTGAGAGTGCATCCTGTGCAATGCTAGAGTGAGAGTGCATCCTGTGCAATGCTAGAGTGAGAGTGCATCCTGTGCAATGCTAGAGTGAGAGTGCATCCTGTGCAATGCTAGAGTGAGAGTGCATCCTGTGCAATGCTAGAGTGAGAGTGCATCCTGTGCAATGCTAGAGTGAGAGTGCATCCTGTGCAATGCTAGAGTGAGAGTGCATCCTGTGCAATGCTAGAGTGAGAGTGCATCCTGTGCAATGCTAGAGTGAGAGTGCATCCTGTGCAATGCTAGAGTGAGAGTGCATCCTGTGCAATGCTAGAGTGAGAGTGCATCCTGTGCAATGCTAGAGTGAGAGTGCATCCTGTGCAATGCTAGAGTGAGAGTGCATCCTGTGCAATGCTAGAGTGAGAGTGCATCCTGTGCAATGCTAGAGTGAGAGTGCATCCTGTGCAATGCTAGAGTGAGAGTGCATCCTGTGCAATGCTAGAGTGAGAGTGCATCCTGTGCAATGCTAGAGTGAGAGTGCATCCTGTGCAATGCTAGAGTGAGAGTGCATCCTGTGCAATGCTAGAGTGAGAGTGCATCCTGTGCAATGCTAGAGTGAGAGTGCATCCTGTGCAATGCTAGAGTGAGAGTGCATCCTGTGCAATGCTAGAGTGAGAGTGCATCCTGTGCAATGCTAGAGTGAGAGTGCATCCTGTGCAATGCTAGAGTGAGAGTGCATCCTGTGCAATGCTAGAGTGAGAGTGCATCCTGTGCAATGCTAGAGTGAGAGTGCATCCTGTGCAATGCTAGAGTGAGAGTGCATCCTGTGCAATGCTAGAGTGAGAGTGCATCCTGTGCAATGCTAGAGTGAGAGTGCATCCTGTGCAATGCTAGAGTGAGAGTGCATCCTGTGCAATGCTAGAGTGAGAGTGCATCCTGTGCAATGCTAGAGTGAGAGTGCATCCTGTGCAATGCTAGAGTGAGAGTGCATCCTGTGCAATGCTAGAGTGAGAGTGCATCCTGTGCAATGCTAGAGTGAGAGTGCATCCTGTGCAATGCTAGAGTGAGAGTGCATCCTGTGCAATGCTAGAGTGAGAGTGCATCCTGTGCAATGCTAGAGTGAGAGTGCATCCTGTGCAATGCTAGAGTGAGAGTGCATCCTGTGCAATGCTAGAGTGAGAGTGCATCCTGTGCAATGCTAGAGTGAGAGTGCATCCTGTGCAATGCTAGAGTGAGAGTGCATCCTGTGCAATGCTAGAGTGAGAGTGCATCCTGTGCAATGCTAGAGTGAGAGTGCATCCTGTGCAATGCTAGAGTGAGAGTGCATCCTGTGCAATGCTAGAGTGAGAGTGCATCCTGTGCAATGCTAGAGTGAGAGTGCATCCTGTGCAATGCTAGAGTGAGAGTGCATCCTGTGCAATGCTAGAGTGAGAGTGCATCCTGTGCAATGCTAGAGTGAGAGTGCATCCTGTGCAATGCTAGAGTGAGAGTGCATCCTGTGCAATGCTAGAGTGAGAGTGCATCCTGTGCAATGCTAGAGTGAGAGTGCATCCTGTGCAATGCTAGAGTGAGAGTGCATCCTGTGCAATGCTAGAGTGAGAGTGCATCCTGTGCAATGCTAGAGTGAGAGTGCATCCTGTGCAATGCTAGAGTGAGAGTGCATCCTGTGCAATGCTAGAGTGAGAGTGCATCCTGTGCAATGCTAGAGTGAGAGTGCATCCTGTGCAATGCTAGAGTGAGAGTGCATCCTGTGCAATGCTAGAGTGAGAGTGCATCCTGTGCAATGCTAGAGTGAGAGTGCATCCTGTGCAATGCTAGAGTGAGAGTGCATCCTGTGCAATGCTAGAGTGAGAGTGCATCCTGTGCAATGCTAGAGTGAGAGTGCATCCTGTGCAATGCTAGAGTGAGAGTGCATCCTGTGCAATGCTAGAGTGAGAGTGCATCCTGTGCAATGCTAGAGTGAGAGTGCATCCTGTGCAATGCTAGAGTGAGAGTGCATCCTGTGCAATGCTAGAGTGAGAGTGCATCCTGTGCAATGCTAGAGTGAGAGTGCATCCTGTGCAATGCTAGAGTGAGAGTGCATCCTGTGCAATGCTAGAGTGAGAGTGCATCCTGTGCAATGCTAGAGTGAGAGTGCATCCTGTGCAATGCTAGAGTGAGAGTGCATCCTGTGCAATGCTAGAGTGAGAGTGCATCCTGTGCAATGCTAGAGTGAGAGTGCATCCTGTGCAATGCTAGAGTGAGAGTGCATCCTGTGCAATGCTAGAGTGAGAGTGCATCCTGTGCAATGCTAGAGTGAGAGTGCATCCTGTGCAATGCTAGAGTGAGAGTGCATCCTGTGCAATGCTAGAGTGAGAGTGCATCCTGTGCAATGCTAGAGTGAGAGTGCATCCTGTGCAATGCTAGAGTGAGAGTGCATCCTGTGCAATGCTAGAGTGAGAGTGCATCCTGTGCAATGCTAGAGTGAGAGTGCATCCTGTGCAATGCTAGAGTGAGAGTGCATCCTGTGCAATGCTAGAGTGAGAGTGCATCCTGTGCAATGCTAGAGTGAGAGTGCATCCTGTGCAATGCTAGAGTGAGAGTGCATCCTGTGCAATGCTAGAGTGAGAGTGCATCCTGTGCAATGCTAGAGTGAGAGTGCATCCTGTGCAATGCTAGAGTGAGAGTGCATCCTGTGCAATGCTAGAGTGAGAGTGCATCCTGTGCAATGCTAGAGTGAGAGTGCATCCTGTGCAATGCTAGAGTGAGAGTGCATCCTGTGCAATGCTAGAGTGAGAGTGCATCCTGTGCAATGCTAGAGTGAGAGTGCATCCTGTGCAATGCTAGAGTGAGAGTGCATCCTGTGCAATGCTAGAGTGAGAGTGCATCCTGTGCAATGCTAGAGTGAGAGTGCATCCTGTGCAATGCTAGAGTGAGAGTGCATCCTGTGCAATGCTAGAGTGAGAGTGCATCCTGTGCAATGCTAGAGTGAGAGTGCATCCTGTGCAATGCTAGAGTGAGAGTGCATCCTGTGCAATGCTAGAGTGAGAGTGCATCCTGTGCAATGCTAGAGTGAGAGTGCATCCTGTGCAATGCTAGAGTGAGAGTGCATCCTGTGCAATGCTAGAGTGAGAGTGCATCCTGTGCAATGCTAGAGTGAGAGTGCATCCTGTGCAATGCTAGAGTGAGAGTGCATCCTGTGCAATGCTAGAGTGAGAGTGCATCCTGTGCAATGCTAGAGTGAGAGTGCATCCTGTGCAATGCTAGAGTGAGAGTGCATCCTGTGCAATGCTAGAGTGAGAGTGCATCCTGTGCAATGCTAGAGTGAGAGTGCATCCTGTGCAATGCTAGAGTGAGAGTGCATCCTGTGCAATGCTAGAGTGAGAGTGCATCCTGTGCAATGCTAGAGTGAGAGTGCATCCTGTGCAATGCTAGAGTGAGAGTGCATCCTGTGCAATGCTAGAGTGAGAGTGCATCCTGTGCAATGCTAGAGTGAGAGTGCATCCTGTGCAATGCTAGAGTGAGAGTGCATCCTGTGCAATGCTAGAGTGAGAGTGCATCCTGTGCAATGCTAGAGTGAGAGTGCATCCTGTGCAATGCTAGAGTGAGAGTGCATCCTGTGCAATGCTAGAGTGAGAGTGCATCCTGTGCAATGCTAGAGTGAGAGTGCATCCTGTGCAATGCTAGAGTGAGAGTGCATCCTGTGCAATGCTAGAGTGAGAGTGCATCCTGTGCAATGCTAGAGTGAGAGTGCATCCTGTGCAATGCTAGAGTGAGAGTGCATCCTGTGCAATGCTAGAGTGAGAGTGCATCCTGTGCAATGCTAGAGTGAGAGTGCATCCTGTGCAATGCTAGAGTGAGAGTGCATCCTGTGCAATGCTAGAGTGAGAGTGCATCCTGTGCAATGCTAGAGTGAGAGTGCATCCTGTGCAATGCTAGAGTGAGAGTGCATCCTGTGCAATGCTAGAGTGAGAGTGCATCCTGTGCAATGCTAGAGTGAGAGTGCATCCTGTGCAATGCTAGAGTGAGAGTGCATCCTGTGCAATGCTAGAGTGAGAGTGCATCCTGTGCAATGCTAGAGTGAGAGTGCATCCTGTGCAATGCTAGAGTGAGAGTGCATCCTGTGCAATGCTAGAGTGAGAGTGCATCCTGTGCAATGCTAGAGTGAGAGTGCATCCTGTGCAATGCTAGAGTGAGAGTGCATCCTGTGCAATGCTAGAGTGAGAGTGCATCCTGTGCAATGCTAGAGTGAGAGTGCATCCTGTGCAATGCTAGAGTGAGAGTGCATCCTGTGCAATGCTAGAGTGAGAGTGCATCCTGTGCAATGCTAGAGTGAGAGTGCATCCTGTGCAATGCTAGAGTGAGAGTGCATCCTGTGCAATGCTAGAGTGAGAGTGCATCCTGTGCAATGCTAGAGTGAGAGTGCATCCTGTGCAATGCTAGAGTGAGAGTGCATCCTGTGCAATGCTAGAGTGAGAGTGCATCCTGTGCAATGCTAGAGTGAGAGTGCATCCTGTGCAATGCTAGAGTGAGAGTGCATCCTGTGCAATGCTAGAGTGAGAGTGCATCCTGTGCAATGCTAGAGTGAGAGTGCATCCTGTGCAATGCTAGAGTGAGAGTGCATCGTGTTTCTTGTGCTTCGTTGAGCCTACCTCTTCCCTTCTGGTTCCTCTGGATCAGAATTCCCCACTAGGAATCGCCACTTACATACTGCACCACACCGCACCCATGCCCACCCCTCACACATGATATTTCACTGTCCCTCTTCACTTGCTTCTCCCTCTCACTTGCGTCTCCCTGTGCCTTGGATATTCTACCCGTCGGTGCAGGTGCCTCACTGCTTTTAAAGGCTCCTAAAAGATCATACCGCACTGCACCCATGCGCACCCACCCACCCCTCAGACTCGCCCTGTGGCACCTGCCTCTCTGGAGCCTCAATCCCCACAAGCAATTGCACTCACATACCGCAATGCACCCATCCCTACTCCTCAGACTCACCCTGTGGCGCCTGCCCCCCTGGAGCCACCTGCAAGGCCGTGCCTGGGGCACAATCAGTGAGCAGCAGGTGCCTTACTGGGCGTGCTCCAGCCCTTGTTCATTCTCCCTTGCACCCCGTGCTCTGCACACTCACCCTGTGGCGCCTGCCCCAATGGAGCCTCAATCCCCCACCAGCAATTGCACTCACATACCGCATTGCACCCGTTCTTACTGGAGCCACTTGCAAGACCGTGCCTGAGACGACCTCTTGCTGCTCGCATCGTCCAACAATGGAATTCCAGTGCAGGCGCCTTACTGAAAGACCGTGCCTGCGACTGAATTCAGCAAGCTCCTGGTGCCTTACTGCGCGTGCTCATTTCCCCATCCCTTCATTGTTCCTTGCAGCCCCTGCTCTCCTGCCTCCTGCTTGAGACGGAGGACAGTGATCCCATGCTGCGGGTATCACCCAACAGTGGAACGTACTGCTTTTTGAGGCGCCTGAAGATTCATACCGCACTTCACCCAACCCCACCCCTCAGCCTCACCCTGTGGCACCTGCCCCACTGGAGCCACGTGCAAGACTGTGCTTGAGACGGAGGACAGTGATTTCACGCTGTGGCACCCAGATTTGGCGCAGGTGCCTTACTGCGAGTGCCCTCAAGGCTTTGGGATGACCCCCACTGAATGTGTTGAGGGTGAGTCTCCACTCTCTCCCCTCCCCACTCGCCCCATTCTCTCCTCTCCCCACTCGCCCCACTCCCTTCTCTCGCCACTCACCACCCTCTGTCGTCCCCACCTCGCGTCACTCTCTCCTCTCCCCGCTCGCCATTCCCCCATACTTCACCTTATTTCGCTCTGCCAAGCTTAATGACGCCAAGTAAAGTCGGGCTAGACTTGGCCGGCGCCAAGCCTTCCCCGTCGTGCGGTGTTTCTATATGACTCGCAAACAAGATTCTTTTGGCAACTTTTTTCATTTATTTCACAAAAAATGAAGTTACAAAGCAGTTTGCCTGAAAGATTGATCGTTGAGGCTCTAAGCAGAGGTAAGGTGGGTGGAATGATGCAGTATGGCTAAGAACTAAGGATTAATATGCTAATATTACTAAGTCCTTCCTTTTGCCATTCGTTCGCAGGAGGAAACTTCACAGTCGGTTCCGACAGCATCACACTCATCGTAAATTCAGCAGCCAAGGACTACACCTCCCGGCCCTACACCTTCCGCTGGAACCTGACTGGCTGCACGCAGTTTCCCGCCGCTGTGGCTGGCAAGTACACTGCATGGTATGGTGTTTACAACATCAATGACACTCCGAATTGCCCGCGCTACGACGTATTTTCGGCGGACAACTGTGCAGGCGGATGGGTTGGTGCCGCTTCAGGGCAAAATCCACCCTTCCTTGCAAGTGTTTTCCGGTAAGTGATCGACTGGTCTTTGTAAGTGATTGACTGGACTTGTGCCATCATTATGAGGTGACTTCTAGTCGACTCAAATGTTGCCTCGTAAGTGATTGGCCGATCTTTCTCCATCAGCATCATGCCTGCACTACCTTCCCGTCAGAGTCAGCACTTATGAGTTATCCTTTCCTATTTGGGATCCCCTTGTTTCTGCCATTCACCAGGTTTGGGAACCCTGACATTGCGCGTTCTGTAAACTGTGTTGTTTAGTGGGATGCCTTCACTCAAGAGAGTGTTATTTGTGCCTGCTCTAACTTGGAACGGATTTCTCCTTCAACAGAGACTCAAGCTTAGGATCAACTTGGTTGGTTGCATCCTTTCCTTCCTACCTGTTATGAGTTGTAAAAAGAGAGTGCACGGAATAACGAATAACGAGGCTGTGACTCAATGAACTGACAATACAATGAAGGCATGAGATTATATAGTGACTACCCTAGCTAGGAGGGAACCTCGGGAAAACGAGGTTGGGTGCAGGTTTGGCAATCGGAAAACCGAAGGCGACGCGAGGCCGAAATGTCGGGGTCGTACGCGTAGCAGTCAACCCCAGTAAGGAAGAAGGAAAATTCCTTACATTACCCCCCCCCCCCCCCTCCTTAGAAAAGTGTTCGTTATCAGCAGCGCGCTTTATCGAGATAGCTAGGCATATCATTTGACACGCTTGCGGGCGAGGTAATCACCAACGAGCGGTGACGCTTCAAGCGAGTTGGATGGCACCCAAGTGTCATCTTCACTGGTGCGGTCAGTCCAACGTACCTGTATTAAGAAATCCACGTGGCGACCAGACGCGTATCCGAGTGTCGGTTTCGAGACAGGTCGTGCTGTCAGGGCGGCGTTCTGGCGCGCGATGTCTGTCGTGGCAGGCACGAACAGTCAGAATGTGATGGTTGTCTAGCCTGCAGTGGGGTACTCTATAGCGAGTACAGCCCTTCTAGGGTTTGCTATATGTATCCCTATGCTTGTTAGTCAAAACCCCTCTTTGCCTGTTTCTTCACAGTCAGAATGTGATGGTTGTCTAGCCTGCAGTGGGGTACTCTATAGCGAGTACAGCCCTTCTAGGGTTTGCTATATGTATCCCTATGCTTGTTAGTCAAAACCCCTCTTTGCCAGTTTCTTCGTTTTTGCCTAGTATTTCGACATGCTATCAGAGCAGGTCGACCCCCTTGGGTCGATCCTGTGGGTGGGCCCGCCACCTAACTGCTTCCGCTGCTGTTCTGCTTCTCGCACGCCTCGGGCGCGCGCCGTCTTCTTCCTGCCGTGCGCTCGGGGCGTACGGCGGTTTTCTGCCCGTCGCGGCGCCCTGGGGGCCCGCGCGTCCCCCCCCTCCCGTCGCCTCGTCGCGGCACCTTGGGGGCCCGCGCGTCCCCCCCCTCCCGTCGCCTCGTCGCGGCACCTTGGGGGCCCGCGCGCCGCCCCCTCCCGTCGCCTCGTCGCGGCACCTTGGGGGCCCGCGCGTCCCCCCCCTCCCGTCGCCTCGTCGCGGCACCTTGGGGGCCCGCGCGCCGCCCCTTCCTGTCGCCTCGTCGCGGCGCCTTGGGGGCCCGCGCGCGGCCCCTCCCGTCGCCCGTCGAGCCGCCCTCGGGGGGCCCGCGCCCTGCTTCTTCGTGGCGCCCAGGAGATGGCCACCCCGCCGCCTCCCTTTCCCTCCGTGAACCGCCCCTGCTGTTTCCCGCGCTCCTGCCTGCGTTAGGGTTTGGGGGTGGCGGGCATGGGGGTGACCGGTGTGGGTAACCTGCAGCTCCTCCTCCTCCTCCGTCTCCCACTGCTGCAGCTGCCGCTGAGGGGGGTGGGTGTGTGGGAGCCGAGGGTTTAGGGTTTAAGGGGGGTGACGTGGGAGTGGAGCTAGGGGTGCAGCAGGGGGTGTGTGAAAAGGGGGTGAGACAGCTGGGGGAAGTAGTGTGGAGGCAGCCGTCTTGTCGTCCGCAGCGCCTGTAGTCCAGAGAGCCAGCTGCGTCTGTGGCCTGAGTAGTCCGGGGCTCTGCGCCTGGTAGCCACAGTGTGAGCACTCCTGGTAGTCCAGAGAGCCAGCTGCGTCTGTGGCCTGAGTAGTCCGGGTATAGCCTGGTAGCTACAGTGTGAGCACTCCTGGGAGCACAGAGAGCCAGCTGCGCCTGTCGCCTGAGTAGTCCGGGTTTAGCCTGGTAGCGACAGTGCTGCGCACTCCTGTTGCCTGTGTGTCTGCAGCTTCAGCCGTCGCCTCTCATCTTCTCACCCCCGCAGTTTCTCCTCCTCCTCACTTGCTCTCTGTGATAGCCTCTAGCTTTGCTTGTATTTGTGAACCTACTGCTCTGCCTGCTTGCTGTGTTGATTGTACCCCACTTTGACTATGGGGGTGTGTCAGAATGTGATGGTTGTCTAGCCTGCAGTGGGGTACTCTATAGCGAGTACAGCCCTTCTAGGGTTTGCTATATGTATCCCTATGCTTGTTAGTCAAAACCCCTCTCTGCCTGTTTCTTCGTTTTTGCCTAGTATTTCGACACGAACTTGCGAAGTAAGCTGACGTGGAAGGCGTCATGTATACGCCAGTCGTCGGGTAGCAGCAGCTTTGCGGTGACAGGTGTCACAATCTGGATAATCTTGAAAAGCCCACAAAATCGTGGCCGTAACTTCGACGAGTCGGGTAGGCGAAGGTTCTTCGTGTCGAGCAGCACTAATTGCCCACCTGTCATGACAATTTCCCGTCGCAAAAGGTCTGTGTATTTTCGAAAAGTGATATTCGCCCAGCGAATTGCATCCGCGACTTTTTCACGAATCTCTTGAAGTTCCGTCACAAACGTTTGTGACCGCGGGACTGGGTTGTCAAGTGTAGTCGTTGTAGGTTGTCAGAGGTCCACTGGGAATCCCTGATTGATCCTAGGGAAGGGTTACATGCACGTTGATATGGGGGGTTATGGGCGCACTCACCCGCTACATAAATAAGCCCTTCTATCCCAATGCTTAATGGCTTTGATTCTGACATGGTATCAGAGCAAAGGTCTCGGGTTCGAATTCCTGTGTGTGCACCTCGGACATCTCAGTGCAGGGGGGTGTCAGAGGTCCACTGGAGATCCCCGATTGATCCTAGGGAAGGGTTACAGACACGTTGGCCTGCGGGGGAAATGGGCGCACTCACACACTACACCAACAAGTCCTTCTATTCTAGTGGTTAGTGGCTGGGAGTTTGACATAGGTACCACCGGGTCCATCCCGTAATTCAAAAAGAACAGAGAGTGATTAGTCGTGCTGGACGGGGCGTTTTTTAACGCGAATTCCAGCATAGCGAGTGAGTTTTCCCAGCGAGCGGGGTTGGGGCAGTTTGTCATAATCAGCTGCTCCATCGTCTGATGGTTTGCTCGGTCTGGCCGTCCGTTTGCAGGTGGTATGCCGATGAAAATGGTAGGTTCGTGCCGTACTGCGCCCACGTTTCCTTCCAAAATTTCGACGTGAACTTCGGATCCCTATCGCTGATGATCGCCGAGGGGATTCCATGCAATCGCACGACGGTTCAGATGAAGAGATGCGCCGTTTCTTCAGCTGTAATGGTTGTACGACATGGTGCGAAGTGCGCCATTTTCGCGAGACGATCGACGATGACGATAACAACGTCGTTGCCGGACGGCCTAGCTGGCAGCCCCGTGACGAAATCCATCGTCACCTGTTGCCACGGTCGTTCCTGTCAGAGGTCCACTGGAGATCCCCGATGATCCTAGGGAAGGGTTACAGGCATGTCGGCCTGGGGGGTTATGGGCGCACTCACCCGCTACATAAACAAGCCCTTTTATCCCAGTGGTTAGTGACTGGGATTCTGACATGGTATCAGAGCGAAGGTCTCGGGTTCGATTCCCGGTGTGTGCACTTCGGGCATCCCAGTGCGGGGGGGTGTCAGAGGTCCACTGGAGATCCCCGATGATCCTAGGGAAGGGTTACAGGCACGTCGGCCTGGGGGGTTATGGGCGCACTCACCCGCTACATAAACAAGCCCTTTTATCCCAGTGGTTAGTGACTGGGATTCTGACAGTTCCGCTAGCTCGAGGGGTTACAGCAAACTAGCTGGCCGCTGACGTGTAGATCTCATGGCTTGGCACACCCTGCATGAGGACACATATCGTTGCACGTCGTTAGCAGAATCGGGCCAATAATATTGACGGTGCAACAGCTTTTGGGTTTTATCAAAATGTCTGGAGAGGTTTGAGTCGTGGATCTCCTGGATAAGGAGTTCACGCAACAGTCGGTAAGCGGGAACCCAAATCCGGTCAGTTCCAGC